CCCCCCCCCCCCCTCCTCCTCCTCCTCCTCCTCCTCTTCCTCTAATAGCAACCCAAAAAAAAAAAAGAAGAAAAGAAACTACGTAACTTCAAAGCACATTACTTTTTGCTAATTCGAGTAGATATATGCATGCTTTGATATGCACAGTTAAATTGATTTTTACACTAGACCAAAAAAAAAATCGAGGTTAGCTAAGTAAAGATGCCAAATGTTTATTATTTTCCAATTCAATTATCTTTTCTCTGGGTTATCAGATGCTTTTGTGTTACTAAGTGAAGTAATTCTTGACTAGATTTTGAAATTTTGATTTGTTGTCATTTCATTGACTTGTTTAGGATGCTTTGCTTTTCAGCCTACCTCACCAATCAGGTCTGAAATTGATGTTAAGCTTGGGGGTACCCAATGCAACCTAATAATGAGTAGATTAAAGCCATGGATGCGCCTGCGTTCCACAAATAACAGGAAAATGGTGCTTCGTGAGGACAGGTCTAGTCTTGAAAGGCCACAGTCAGCTGACATTAAAGCCATCATGTGGACATGCACTCTCTCAGCCCCAGAAATGACTATTGTGATTTATAATTTGAGTGATTCACCGCTGTATCATGTAAGTCCCCTTTAACATAGGCTTATAACTGTAGGGTTAGAATGGTTCCCCTTCTTTAAGCTCTTCTTCTTCTTCGTCTTTCAGTAATTTGTGACTGATTCAGGGTTGGATGTATTGTCCGCCTCTTTTCTCTCTTATGTACCTCATTACAATCACTAAAATATTTCGTTTCTTATCAAAAAAAAAAAAAAAAGTTTCCAAGAATCATTTCATTCTGAGAAAATGCATATAAAGATGTGTATGTTTTCTTAGCCTTTTTGTATTGTTATGTCTATTGTGTGGATTAAATAATAGTGGTAAATGTGGATCATTAAATCCAATCTTTCTCTGAAGCAGTCATTGATTCTGTTTCTGACTTAGTGACTTGTATTTGGGCTACGCCTCCCCCCTTCTCTCTGCGTGGTGCTCTATGTTATTTTTTTGATACTAACTAAAGCAAAAATGTTTCTATTTCTGATTCTTAAGATTCCCTGCATATGAAAAAGTACTTGACATGTTATGCTTGGTGTTCTATTACTTTTGTTTTGCATTTTTCTTTCCCAAAAGGGAATTTTAGTTTAAACTGGTTTATGGATTTACCAGCATCTTAATTTTTATTTCAAATTTGCAGGGCTGCTCACAGTCATCACATTTCTTTGCCAACAACATATCGAGTTCGGGCACTGCAGTACACGTGGAACTTGGCGAAGTAAATTTGCACATGGCAGATGAATATCATGAATGTTTAAAAGAAAGCCTGTTCGGCGTGGAATCAAATACGGGTTCCTTAATGCATATAGCAAAGATTAGTCTTGATGGGGGCAAGAAGGACATGGATTCACTTGAGGAGGATGTTGCCAAGTATAAATCAGTTCTCTGCGTTGATGTAACTGGTATGGGTGTGTACCTGAACCTCAAGCGTGTTGAGTCGTTAATATCAACTGCATTGTCCTTTATGGGTTTGTTGAAACATCTATCTGCTTCTGGTAGAAAACCAGCACATAGTCGCGGAGAGCGTCCAACCAGACCATCTGGGAAAGGGACACAACTCATAAAATTTAACCTTGAACGGTGTTTTTTAAATTTCTGCGGTGAGGTGGGCTTGGAAAACTCAGTTGTTGCAGACCCCAAACGTGTGAATTATGGTTCACATGGTGGTCGAGTTTTAATAAGTACCTCAACTGATGGGTCGCTGCGTACTGCAAACATAATGTCCACCATGTCTGATGAGTGCCAGAAGCTAAAGTACTCTATTTCCCTCGACATTTTCCATTTCAGTCTGAGCATGAACAAGGAGAAACAGTCCACACAGATGGAGCTTGAAAGGGCCAAATCTATATATCTGGAATATTTGAAAGATACTAGTCCTGGCACCAAAGTGGTTTTGCTTGACATGCAAAATGCAAAATTTGTACGGCGAGCTGGTGGTCTTAAGGAGATTTCAGTGTGCTCTCTTTTTAGTGCTACAGATATCACTGTCAGGTGGGAGCCTGATGTCCATATAGCACTATTTGAACTCATGTTGCACTTGAAAGTAATAATACACAATCAGAAGCTTCAGGAACGTGATAGTATACTTATGGAAGACATCTCCAGCATGAGAGATACTGAACAGAAGAAAGAAACCCCTATGGAATCGGTACAACTTGAAAAACAATGCAAGAAAAGGGAATCTGTTTTTGCTATTGATGTTGAGGTGTTGAATATTTTTGCCGAGGTTGGTGACGGGGTTGATGCCATGATGCAGGTTCAGTCTATTTTTTCTGAGAATGCCCGTATAGGGGTGCTTCTTGAAGGACTTATGCTCCGTTTCAATGGAGCAAGAGTATTTAAAAGTAGTAGAATGCAAATTTCTCGCATTCCCAGTGCCTCTAGTAGTTTTTCATCGGATGCAAAACTTGCTGCAGCCACTACATGGGATTGGGTAATACAAGCCATTGATGTTCATATTTGCATGCCCTACAGGTTGCAGTTGCGTGCCATTGATGATTCCATTGAAGAAATGTTGCGAGCTTTGAAGCTTATTACTGCTTCCAAGACTAAACTTATATTTCCGATGAAGGGAGAGAGTACAAAACCTAAAAAGCCTAGTTCAACGAAATTTGGATGTGTAAAATTTTGCATACGTAAGCTAACTGCAGACATTGAGGAAGAACCAATACAGGGTTGGTTTGATGAGCACTACCAGCTTTTGAAGAATGAGGCTTCTGAATTAGCCGTGAGGTTGAATTTTCTTGATGAAATAATTTCCAAAGGCAGCCAAGGTTCCCGAACTGCTGAAACAAATGATTCTACCCACGAAGATAAGATTCATTTTAATGAAGATGAGATTGATGTCCATGATGCTTCAGCTATTCAAAAATTGCAAGAGGAGATCTATAAGCAGTCTTTCCGGTCGTATTATCAGGCATGTCAAAATCTTGTGCCATCAGAAGGATCAGGGTCCTGTAGTGAAGAGTTTCAGGCTGGTTTCAACCCTAGCACTGCCCGAACTTCTCTATTTTCCATTTCTGCCACAGAGTTTGATTTAAGCTTGACAAGAATTGAAGGTGGTGATGATGGGATGATAAAGGTTCTACAGCAGCTTGATCCAGTTTGTTTGGAGTATAACATCCCATTTTCTCGATTGTATGGGTGTAATATTCTTTTGCATACAGGTTCTCTCGCTGTCCATGTGAGAAATTACACATATCCACTTTTTTCTGCAACTTCTGGTAGATGTGAAGGTCGGGTTGTGCTAGCTCAGCAGGTCAGTTTGAAATTTGCCTCCTCTCATATTTGGGATCACATTTCCAGCATATGCCCTATTTACTGCTTAGAGGTGCTTCTATGATTGTTCTAGAAAGACACAGAAGAAACTATGAACTATGAGTGAAGAAATTTTTTTTCCAAATAATCTGTTTTATTGTCTTCTCATCGCTTATCATGAGGTCAGAAGTCCGTCCAGATGCTAATAAGAACTCAGCTAAATTCAACCCAACAAAGCCTTGTCCCAACTATTTGGGGTTAGCTACATGGATCCTGTCCCACCATATAGTCTGTTAAACATAGGGGTGTTGTCTTTGTTTTTCTATTTCATTCAACTTTAGTTTCAGTTCAGTTCCACCCATGTACCTCCACCAATAATGTTTCCCAGATGTTAATACCCTGTCAGGCTGTTACCTAACAAGTTGATAAAAGTGCCCTTTAAATATATAACAGTACTACCCATGAAGGCCTTCCAGTGTAATGCCTAAACTAGTTTGCTTAAGTCTTGGCCATTCAATCCTGTGCCCTATACTTCTAAACATTACTGGTGGCAAGTGAGTCGATATGAGCAGACTCCTCTCTCTCTGGGGTGTGTGTGTGTGTGTGTGTGTGTGTGTGNCAAAACCTAAAAAGCCTAGTTCAACGAAATTTGGATGTGTAAAATTTTGCATACGTAAGCTAACTGCAGACATTGAGGAAGAACCAATACAGGGTTGGTTTGATGAGCACTACCAGCTTTTGAAGAATGAGGCTTCTGAATTAGCCGTGAGGTTGAATTTTCTTGATGAAATAATTTCCAAAGGCAGCCAAGGTTCCCGAACTGCTGAAACAAATGATTCTACCCACGAAGATAAGATTCATTTTAATGAAGATGAGATTGATGTCCATGATGCTTCAGCTATTCAAAAATTGCAAGAGGAGATCTATAAGCAGTCTTTCCGGTCGTATTATCAGGCATGTCAAAATCTTGTGCCATCAGAAGGATCAGGGTCCTGTAGTGAAGAGTTTCAGGCTGGTTTCAACCCTAGCACTGCCCGAACTTCTCTATTTTCCATTTCTGCCACAGAGTTTGATTTAAGCTTGACAAGAATTGAAGGTGGTGATGATGGGATGATAAAGGTTCTACAGCAGCTTGATCCAGTTTGTTTGGAGTATAACATCCCATTTTCTCGATTGTATGGGTGTAATATTCTTTTGCATACAGGTTCTCTCGCTGTCCATGTGAGAAATTACACATATCCACTTTTTTCTGCAACTTCTGGTAGATGTGAAGGTCGGGTTGTGCTAGCTCAGCAGGTCAGTTTGAAATTTGCCTCCTCTCATATTTGGGATCACATTTCCAGCATATGCCCTATTTACTGCTTAGAGGTGCTTCTATGATTGTTCTAGAAAGACACAGAAGAAACTATGAACTATGAGTGAAGAAATTTTTTTTCCAAATAATCTGTTTTATTGTCTTCTCATCGCTTATCATGAGGTCAGAAGTCCGTCCAGATGCTAATAAGAACTCAGCTAAATTCAACCCAACAAAGCCTTGTCCCAACTATTTGGGGTTAGCTACATGGATCCTGTCCCACCATATAGTCTGTTAAACATAGGGGTGTTGTCTTTGTTTTTCTATTTCATTCAACTTTAGTTTCAGTTCAGTTCCACCCATGTACCTCCACCAATAATGTTTCCCAGATGTTAATACCCTGTCAGGCTGTTACCTAACAAGTTGATAAAAGTGCCCTTTAAATATATAACAGTACTACCCATGAAGGCCTTCCAGTGTAATGCCTAAACTAGTTTGCTTAAGTCTTGGCCATTCAATCCTGTGCCCTATACTTCTAAACATTACTGGTGGCAAGTGAGTCGATATGAGCAGACTCCTCTCTCTCTGGGGTGTGTGTGTGTGTGTGTGTGTGTGTGTGTGGGGTACATACCGAGTTTTGTCTATCTGGTGCATATCTCAGAACTATGAGTCATAGACTGGAAACTGTCCAACGGAAGTTTTCCCCAAATCCATAGAAGCAGGATCAGATAGTAACTAGGCCACCAGTTTGAATTTCTGTCTGTTTGTGAAGAAATCAAGGGAAACAAGTCCTAGTGATCAATCTCCTACAAAGTCTGACAAGGAATTGACAATTAGTGAGGATCTGTCTGTAAGAAAATACTACAGGAGGACAACTTCACATGCTATGGCGTCATAATTGCTGACTTCACCCTTCCAAATGCGGAATACTTGAAGTTAGTAAGGAATGCAAATTGCATTAATCTCTCAAGCTCAAAGTAAGCCTTATGAATAAAAAATTCTCAATTACCGTTTGGCTCGTTTTCATGATGCTTGTATTGCCTCTTTGGTTAGATTCTATTCTCAACCACTTCATTGGGATTTTGGCTTTAGTAGAAAGCTTAATGATAGAGAATCTTTGGAGTTGATGTCACTTCTTCCATACTCAACAATGCTTACTTTGAATCTCGAATCCTTGGACAGAAGACGTTGGGTCATTAAGCCAATTGGTTCCTTTTCTTGTAAATTATTTTTGGAGTCTTTAATTGATGATTCTTCACTTCCTCTCTTTTACCCATCACTAAAGATTTGGAAGGCTAAAGTGCTTGAAATGCAAGTTTGTGTATGGGTAATTTCTTACGGTAAGGTCAATATTAATGATATACTTAAAAAAAGAAGGCAGTAGTGTGTAATGTATGGAAGTGATGCTGAGAGTGTTGATCACTTATCTTTGCATTGTCCATGACTTTATCTTTGTGAAATAATTTTTTTTGTTGGGCATCCGTGTGTTTCACGTCGTCTTTGCTTTGTATGGATGTTAAGGCATTTGGAGGAGATAAGAGAGGTGCTACTTTATAGGATTGTGCTTTCTTAGCCATAGTGTGGGCAAAGGAACTCGAGAATTTTAGAGGATAAATGCAAGTAAATGGAAGGATTGTGGAATCGTATCTATTTCTTGGCTTCTATTTGGGCCTCGGTTTCGAGGGATTTTGAGAATGTCACTCGATTTGGTATTATTGTAAGTTGGAGTGCATCATGTGACATATGATAAGGCTTTTTCTTCCTAGTGGTACCATACAATGTTTAATGTTTATGCCTTTTGTTTTTGGTTTCTGTTTGGACGACTTGTCCACATTTGTTTCATCTTATGTATACCTTTACTTTAAATATTAGTAAAATTTAGTTTGTTATAAAAAAAAAATATCAATTGATGCACAAATTCTTTGTCCGGATTTAAGAAAGATTTATGTGGATCTTTTTTGGTACTTCTTTCTGTTTTTCTTTCTTCTTTGTCCTGTTTAAGAGCTATACTTTCTATAATGGTTCAAATAGAGGACAAGCATCTTGCGTGCTTTCTTAAAATATTTAGAAGATCGGTAGCCAATTTATTAGTACAGTACAACATTGATTGGTGTTGTGATAGCTATGTTTAGTCAAAAGCTATGGGAATATGCACCTGAAAATCGAAGCAACTTGTATATGGACAATTTCAAGTGAAATCAAATTGATTTTCCCTCAAATTTTTTCCTTACAGAAATTCTTATGTTGAGTTTTTTATGTTTGAAAGCTTCAATTATTTACTGTGAAGCAGAGGAGCTTCATGGTTGGGGTGCTTGCATAATGTTATGGACTTCTTTCACAATGTCTCTGATCTTATTGTTCTGTCTTAATTGCAGGCTACATGTTTTCAGCCCCAGATTCACCAAAACGTTTTCATTGGTAGATGGAGGAAGGTGTGCTTACTTCGTTCAGCTAGTGGCACAACTCCACCCATGAAAACATATTCAGATTTGCCCATACATTTTCAGAAAGCAGAAGTTTCCTATGGAGTGGGTTTTGAACCAGCTTTTGCGGATGTGAGCTATGCTTTTACTGTGGCTCTTCGCAGGGCAAATTTAAGTACTAGGAATCCAAATGCTTCAGATATTCAACCGCCAAAAAAGGAAAGAAGCTTGCCATGGTGGGATGAGATGAGAAACTATATTCATGGGAACATTAATTTATTCTTCTCTGAAACCCGATGGAATGTTCTTGCTACTACTGATCCTTATGAGAAGTGTGACAAACTTCAAATGGTATCTGGTCTTATGGAAATCCAGCAGTCAGATGGCCGTGTTTACGTTTCGGCTAAGGATTTCAAGATTTTATTGAGCAGTTTGGAGAGTCTGCTCAACAATTGTGGCTTAAAATGTCCCACTGGCACGAGTGGTGCTTTCTTAGAGGCCCCGGCCTTTACTGTTGAAGTTACAATGGATTGGGAATGTGATTCTGGCAATCCCTTAAACCATTATCTGTATGCACTTCCAAATGAAGGTGTTCCTCGTGAGAAAGTTTTTGATCCCTTTAGATCTACCTCTCTCTCCCTGCGGTGGAATCTCTCACTTAGACCGTCCCTTGCCTCACTTGAAAATCAATCACAATCCTCAACCATGGGAGATAATTCTCTCCTTGATGGAGCTATCTATGGTCCATTTAAGTCTGAGAATTTGACAATTGATTCACCAAGCGCAAATGTTGGTCCTCATGATTTAGCATGGCTAATAAAATTCTGGAATATGAATTACCTTCCTCCTCATAAATTGCGGACCTTTTCTAGGTGGCCTCGTTTTGGAATTCCAAGAATTGCCAGATCAGGCAATCTGTCTTTAGACAAGGTGATGACAGAATTTATGTTCCGGATTGATTCAACTCCAGCTTGTGTAAGGCATATGGCTTTAGAGGATGATGACCCGGCCAAAGGGTTGGCATTTAAGATGACAAAGCTAAAACATGAAATGTGTTATAGTCGAGGTAAGCAAAAATATACATTTGAATGCAAACGTGATCCTCTTGATCTTGTTTATCAGGGTCTTGATCTTCACATGCCTAAGGCATATGTAAATAAAGATTGTATGAGTGTTGCAAAAGTAGTTCAAAGCACAAGAAAAAGTTCACAGTCCACATCCACGGACAGAGTTATGAGTGAAAAATGTGGCTGCATGAGCAGCATCACCGAGAGGCATCGTGATGATGGATTTCTGTTATCATCTGATTATTTTACCATCAGAAGGCAAGCCCCAAAGGCTGACCCTTCAAGGTTGTTAGCATGGCAAGAAGCTGGAAGAAGAAATCTTGAGATGACATATGTCAGGTCTGAATTTGAAAATGGGAGTGAGAGTGATGAACATACGCGTTCTGACCATAGTGGAGATGAGGGATATAATGTTGTAATAGCCGACAATTGTCAGCGCATTTTTGTTTATGGCCTTAAGCTTTTATGGACTCTTGAGAATAGAGATGCTGTTTGGTCCTGGGTTGGTGGAATATCCAAGGCATTTGAGCCTCCAAAGCCTTCTCCTTCTCGGCAATATGCCCAGAGAAAGTTGGTCGAGGAGAACCAGATACTGGATAAACCTGAAACACTACAAGATGATGTGTCAAAGCCCCATTTTGTCAGTCATGATGCGAATTTCCCTTCTCCACAACCTGTGGAGGCTTCAGGATCAATTCCATCTCCAGTTCAATCAAATATAGTTGAAAATCCATCATTGGGTGAAGGTGGTAAGTCAATCTGTCACAAAATTTTGCCTTCAATGCTTCAAATCATTACTCAAGGTCTTATGTCTTATGTGTGTTTGTATTTTGGAGAATCAGTGGCATAACACTGACCCCTAGTTTTCATCAGGGTCTCAGGCAATGAATACTATTAAGTGTACTCTTAGCTGTTTATGATTATATTTATACTTGATGGGTTAGTTGTATGTGATTATATTTTGATCTTAGTCCTTTTAGTATAACTTGTACTGCTGAGAATTTAAGCTAAGGAGCATTCATTTTGCTTTTCCACCAGCAAAGAATGGCAATAATGATGACTCTAAAGAGGGAACTGGTCATTTCATGGTCAATGTTATTGAGCCACAATTCAATCTTCACTCGGAAGAAGCTAATGTAAGTTGTGCCAGAAATTTCAGCATTAAACTGAAAGTTTTCCTTCAACTATCTTGTGTTGGTCAAAACAAACTATTTATTCACTATTGATAATTTGTCTTTTGTCCTTTTAACCCTATCTTTTTTTCTGTAGTTATACCGTGAATGTCATGTTGTGCCATTTTGGATCACTCATCCCATACTTCCCCCTCCTTTCTTATTTCTGCACCAACAATACTTGTCCTAACATGAAAAAAAATCTTATCTGGTAGCTCTCCATTAGGTTGGAGTTATATTCTGAAGTACTCTGTCAGTTTCATGAAGTTTTTTAGAGGGGGAGTGAGGATTCCATGGAAGCAAAAAAATTAAAGCATTATGGTCCAAATATGTTTCAAAGTGGGCTGAATAAGTTTTAAATAGAGTCTCGGCCTATATCGAATTCTAGCATTTCAATCACCGCTCATATGTTGAATCATGTCCACATATTGGTGGTCACTAAACTTAATCTAGATTCTTTTTTGGTTTCCATGTGTTAGAAATCCACTTCTTGTGGCTCCTGTATTACAATTGCTGCATGCCTCAACATGTTTCTCCCCTGACATACATATAGCTAATGTCGACTGCCTAAATGTCAAAACTCCAGATCAAATCAAATTTAGAATCATTTTTTTTTCTATTTTTTCTTGTTAATTGTCTTAAGTACGAGTAACAAGTCTTGTCAAGGGCATGCGTATCATCGTCTTTTTTTTTTTTATTATTATTACTGTAGATCTGCTAGATCTATTGGTCTTTGATGAACCAAATCCAAAAATGTTGGTGCCGTTCCTTTTTTAATTTTGGGTTAGATNTGTGATTATATTTTGATCTTAGTCCTTTTAGTATAACTTGTACTGCTGAGAATTTAAGCTAAGGAGCATTCATTTTGCTTTTCCACCAGCAAAGAATGGCAATAATGATGACTCTAAAGAGGGAACTGGTCATTTCATGGTCAATGTTATTGAGCCACAATTCAATCTTCACTCGGAAGAAGCTAATGTAAGTTGTGCCAGAAATTTCAGCATTAAACTGAAAGTTTTCCTTCAACTATCTTGTGTTGGTCAAAACAAACTATTTATTCACTATTGATAATTTGTCTTTTGTCCTTTTAACCCTATCTTTTTTTCTGTAGTTATACCGTGAATGTCATGTTGTGCCATTTTGGATCACTCATCCCATACTTCCCCCTCCTTTCTTATTTCTGCACCAACAATACTTGTCCTAACATGAAAAAAAATCTTATCTGGTAGCTCTCCATTAGGTTGGAGTTATATTCTGAAGTACTCTGTCAGTTTCATGAAGTTTTTTAGAGGGGGAGTGAGGATTCCATGGAAGCAAAAAAATTAAAGCATTATGGTCCAAATATGTTTCAAAGTGGGCTGAATAAGTTTTAAATAGAGTCTCGGCCTATATCGAATTCTAGCATTTCAATCACCGCTCATATGTTGAATCATGTCCACATATTGGTGGTCACTAAACTTAATCTAGATTCTTTTTTGGTTTCCATGTGTTAGAAATCCACTTCTTGTGGCTCCTGTATTACAATTGCTGCATGCCTCAACATGTTTCTCCCCTGACATACATATAGCTAATGTCGACTGCCTAAATGTCAAAACTCCAGATCAAATCAAATTTAGAATCATTTTTTTTTCTATTTTTTCTTGTTAATTGTCTTAAGTACGAGTAACAAGTCTTGTCAAGGGCATGCGTATCATCGTCTTTTTTTTTTTTATTATTATTACTGTAGATCTGCTAGATCTATTGGTCTTTGATGAACCAAATCCAAAAATGTTGGTGCCGTTCCTTTTTTAATTTTGGGTTAGATGTATGGGCAGAAATATTTTTCTGTTCATCTCCATTTAATTTATAAAATTCCTGAGGAAACTGGGTAATGGACGCCATAAATGGATGCTAGCAGTCCCAAGCTCCGAGAAACTAATTGATGATTGTATGTTCTTATCTTGAAAGAACATCAATACAGAAACATATTGAATCTATCTAGAAACGAACCAGTGCACAAGCCAGTTTAAAATTCTGAATTGCAGCCTTATGATATTTGTGTGATGCGGGATACAATTTTAATTTATGCAAGTTGGGCTGACACTATAAGGCCACTATTTTTCTTCTTTACAGGGTAGATTTCTGCTTGCTGCTGTTAGTGGCCGTGTTTTAGCTCGTTCATTTCATTCAGTTCTTCATGTTGGCTATGAGATGATTGAACAAGCACTTGGCCCAGGAAATTTACATGTTCCTGAATGTCAACCTGAAATGACGTGGAACCGCATGGAGGTTTCAGTAATGTTGGAGCATGTGCAGGCTCATGTTGCCCCAACTGATGTTGATCCAGGGGCTGGACTACAGTGGCTTCCAAGAATTCGTAGGAGCTCACCCAAAGTAAAGCGTACCGGAGCTTTACTTGAAAGAGTGTTTATGCCTTGTGACATGTACTTCCGCTATACAAGGCACAAAGGCGGAACTGCAGATTTGAAGGTGTCTTGGAATTTTATTTGGATGATCTGTCTAGTGCTTACCATCTACTTTACAGAATTCTGAATTGCAAATTCATCTGCAGGTGAAGCCCTTGAAAGAGCTTACTTTCAATTCTGACAATATAACGGCAACAATGACTTCTCGTCAATTTCAGGTCATGCTAGATGTGTTGACTAATCTTCTTTTTGCTCGGCTTCCGAAGTAAGCATAACCTGTATTTGTGATTTTATTTGTATGTGCTGTTTCTCCTCAATTTCGAAATATGAGTGGTTGCTCATTTTTGTGATTTTTTCTGTTTAGGTTCTATTTTGGCATAGTAATGTGTTGATGTTTGTAGGTTTCAGTCAACATAATTTATATATCATTTTGTTAGTAATATACTCATTAGTTCTTTTCTTTGACTTAAATAAATAACCTATTATTGGGTTTCTTTTACATTGCACTGCATACTGCACCAAAAGATGACGTTGAGTACATCTTCTATGGTGTGTTCTCAAGAATACATATTATGCCTTCCCTAAGTCTTGGAAAAGCTTAGCATACCATTATGATTAAGAAATTATTGGTTGTGAGCCTGTGAGATAGACAGCACTTGAGTTGGAGATTGGCTGAGGTCCTTGAGAATTTCATTGTTCAGACAAACTCATTTGTCAGAATGTTACTTCTAGTTTATAATAACTTCTGCATTCTTTGTGTTAGCATGCATATTTGTGTGTATGTACGGTTTGCAGATGAATGTGTGTATCTACTTAAAAAAATTTCTGCATCAAATTTATATTTTTCCAACTGATAACAAATCAATTAGTAGAGGTTATACACTCATCAATTAAAAACAGCAGAATTACAATTTATTCACATGCATTTTTTTAATCTTGTTAGCTATGATAAACTTACTAATTTCGAAAGAGGAGGCTTCCCGGACTCGTAATAGACGGCTAAGAACAAGAACATGATCAGTAGTCTCTGTCGTTGCAGGTCCTCCTCCTTCCGCTGAGACGGCCCTCTTGTTTTTGTTTGTTCACCGCGAATCAAGAGCATTTGCTACTATGAATCTTGATATTTTATTAAACAGAGGATTGATTTATCCTCTTTTATGACATATAGAGACAGTTGAAAGATAGCCATAGCTGCAGTTTGACCTTGCCAGGCCTCAATAATAAACGTTTTACACTATTTCTGTTGGATGGGGATTAACTTGTTCAAATATATTTGTTGAGTTCGTAACTGTTAAAGATTTATCACTAGATGGCGCACCACCTATGAAGATAAAATGGTGGCCAGACCAATAACACTAAGGATTGCTTACAGATGTTTTGATCAAGTATGCGACTGTTGAAGCTTGTCTTGTGTCTGAGATGGGCTCAAGCTGTTGCACAACTATCAGTAGTATAATTGTTGCATTTTCCATATGCTATTTGTAATAGGTGTTGCGACAATGAGGCAGGGTCACTTACAACTCACAGTTATGCCATCTACAACGGATTTTGATCAAGAAAAGCTTATATGGTTGGGGGTTTTATGTGTTAGAAGGAGAATGCTAGGCTTTAGGGATGGATGACAGAAATTGACTTGTTCTTCAAATTGATGGGTTGCAGATTTTCCACAAATGGGTTGACAGAATCTGCGGGACGAATTTAAAGGTTTCAGTGTTATTTTAATGGGCAGAAGTGGGTAATGGGGTGGGGGATGACTAAGGATTTATAGAACAACGAGAGAGGATGGTTCCAGAAACAATGTGGGCACTGTGAACAGTACCCATGAAGAGTAACGTTGTGTTAGTTTGTAGCTAAAATTGAATATTGTAGGAAGGAAAGTCTTGGACTTTGTAATTTATGGTTTCCTAGGGATTAAAGGTATGATTTGGAGGTCTGGTAGCAGATTCAAATTTTACAGTACCTGCTTTGGTTATAGGTCTTCTGTCTGCCAAAAGTTTGTTAAAGTTTGGTTAATTCTCAGCAGTATATGTTAGTGTTTATTTAAAATTCCATAGTGAATCCGCAACTAGAGGTGTTCACCCTACCCTACGGGTAGGAATTATGAAATTTCATCTTACTACTCAATATTTTGTTGAAGAATTTGTTTTTGGCTGATCCTACCCGATCAAGTGTACTTTTCTTATCCGAATTCCGTTCAAAACAATCGGGTAGGAAATTGGGTGATCACATTTTTTAGTTATTAATTTTTGGATCATTTTAACAATTTAATTAAGTATCTTGTACCAATTAAATAAACCAATAATATTAAAGAAAATACAATAAATTCGATAATACATAAACAGTTACAATAAAACACAACAAGAAAGTCATAAACATTAATACATCATAATTGTTGTACAAATGTAATAACAATTGTTTTAAGTCTAAAATATATCAACCACGTATCAAATATCATAACTACTCCAATAGATCACCACAAATCAAGTAACCTGCACTAAAAATAAGTCAATATTTTAGCAACTCAAACATCCACAACAATAATATATATATGTATATATTATATATATGCATGCATGCAGATAGGGTCGAGTAGGAATACGGAATTTTTATGGATACTCCACATTCCTACCCGATTTTTTGCGGAATACAAAAATTTCTTCTGTGGGCTACCCGATTTTTTGTGATAGCCAATCAGTAAGGTCGGAATATGTGGGTAATCAAAAATTTGAACACCTCTATCCACACCCTCCTAAGTTCCTTATTTTTGGTTTTACAAGGATTATGTAAGGAGAAATTTGTTCTAACTGTCAAAGGAATGACAAGACAAGCCTGAGTTATAACCCCAAGTTTTGAAATGCTATATATTAAAAGAGCTGCATAAGAGAGGGAGGAAAGGAGCCATGCCCATAAAAATTTCCCCCCTAATCACTTGGAAGCAATCACTACTTACTCTCAATTACTTAGATTAGGGTGTGTTGAAATATATGCATGTTGTTACATAAACTATTTCCATGCTTTCTTTGTCAATTTATTTGATGAAAGTTTGTGATTCAGGCCTCGAAAAAGTAGTCTTTCATATCCAGCTGAAGATGATGAAGATGTTGAAGAGGAGGCAGATGAGGTGGTTCCTGACGGTGTTGAAGAGGTAGAACTAGCAAGAGTCAACGTTGAACAGAAAGAAAGGATGAAAAAGTTGATCATTGTTGACATTAGGAAACTATCTCTTCGTAGTGATATTTCTGGAGACCTATATCCTGAAAAGGAAGGCGATCTATGGATGGTAACTGGTGGAAGATCCACATTGGTGAGAGCTGAACTAAATTACTTTTAAGCTAGAATCATAACAATTTGTTACTAGTTTGTTTCCCACATTTAGTCTCAAATATATTTCTGATATGTTTACAGGTGCTGATATTAAATCTAAGCATTGTTTTTCTTTAACCACCAGTATAACTTGATAACTGCTTTGTTATTTCAATAGGGAAATTTCCTTAAACTTAATTCGTTTTCCTGTGGCTATTTTAAAAATTCACGGAACAATTTTTGTTTTCTTCTAACATACTTTGTATTAAAACATTTTGGCTTATATAATGGCTTATATAATATGTGTGTACATGTGTCTGTCTATATGAGAGTGTGTGTGCATAGAATATTTCCATTTTTACAATTGCATGTATTTTGTATGAGTTATTGATGAGAGTGGGTGCAATTTATTGATAAGAAACAAAACTTTCATTAATTCAAAAGGAAAGCACAACGATGGTGGACTAGGGGTCCAGTAATTCTTGCAAGTTGCAACAAAGACAAAGCATCTAAGTACATTTGAAACAAGAATCTCAATACTATTAGACAAAACCGCAAGCACAAACTGCTATCATTTCTTATGAGTGAAAAAGAAACGAGTATCCTGAAACATGGACATAGTGAAGCCAAAAATTCCACTTTTTCCCATAGCAATTCCACATTCTCCCAGATTGCTATGTAAAATGCTACTACTTTTTTCCCATCCAAAGTTCCAAACCATCCAAAAAAATACTGCAGTCCTAAAAAGAATAGCAACCCTCTTTGTCATCCCAACACCTCCAAAAATCTTCCACAATCAAAGTTATGCACCCTTGTGTAGTCACCCAATCCAATTTCACTTCATTGAATATCACATGCCACACCCGGAATGCAAAGAGAAAAAAGTTATTGATGCTTTTACTATGATTTACACATAACACGCCATGAGGAAGAAAAATATGCACTTGTCCTTTTTTAAATTAAAGCACACACATTAACCTTCATATGTGCCATAGTCTGAGTTAAAATATGTACCTTAGTAGAGACTTCAGCCATTTGTTGTGTACATACAGTGCAGTGAACAGTATCAAATAAGCAAAGAAATCAAGAACAGCAAACATGAGGATTTATTTGGATCATTCGAATTTCTACCTACGTCCACAGGAGTGAAATAGAGAATCCCAAAATGATTACAACTTTTTTTGTAGGCACTAGTTGAAGGTCCTTAATCCTGGTTGATGACCTAAACTTAATTCGTTATATACCCAAAATGCTGGTAAAACTAATATGCCGGATATACATTGGAAATCCTTGGTATTCCTGTACTATACTATAAGGGGGCTACGCCCCCTACCTCCATCCTATTATACAACTCCCTCATCGCTACGTTGCGCTTGTGCTTCGCTTTGCTACACCCACTGGCCATTGAACTTGGGTCTAATGAATATGAGTCATCCACTATTTCAAACAATCTTCACTTTGGCGAATGTTTTGCCACTCAGAAGATATCATAACTTCTTGTCTCTGCACAAAAGGGAGGCCAAAATTCCCAAAGAATGAAAGGGCCAAATATTCTACTAGAAGCCAACAAGGACACATAAACAAGCAATGATAACAAGGAAGAAAGCTTACATTACAGTGTCTCTATCATTCAAATTTCTTGAAAACTTAAATTTCCATCCAACTGGAAGAGAAGAAGAGGCAACCATAATGGAAATGGATGTATTATGAGCATGTGACAAATGATAAAGGCAAGGTAACAAAGATGCAAAAGATGACTTTGCTTCAAATATCTTCTCAAAAACAAATTTTGTCGTCCCTCCTCACTCAAGGTTTTAAGAAAGAAAAATAGCACCTTGAGAGAAATAGATTGGTTGTCAATATTTACTCTTAAGAACGAAATTTAACAAAAAATCGTGTTCTAACGCCCACGATCAATCCTTCTCTATTTAATATCTATACACTACCTCCCAATTTCTCTTTGTGCCCATGATTGCTCTAGGCTTAGACGAAGTGTACAGCGGGGAGGTTCAAGTGAAGCTGCACTAGACGTCGAAAGAGGGATTTTGGCGGAGAAATACCAAGAAAATGAGCATCTAACTATAGTATTCGTTGAGATATAGGACTTGAGTACTTATATGTTGACTTAGAAAATAGTGAATTAGGTTTTGGTAAACTGAGTAGATTCCTTGCTGTTTTTTTCGAGGATAGTTTCTGCGTCAACAAATCACTTGTATTCCTTGTTATTTATTGTACACACTTGTGCGCACTATATGTTTGTCAGAATGATTATTTGAATGTTTATCTATACATAGTCATGCAATTTGGTTTGGAATTTGACATCGACGTGAGATTGATTGAGCCAATTAATTGACTATTAATTTTATCAATCGTCATGGTGAACGTGGGTTGTGGTGATTAAAGGGGTTCTTACATTAAGTACTATATCTTTGTGAGATGAAGTAATTTTGGTGGATTAGGTTTTAATTGGTAATCAATTGGACTAAAATTAAAAAAATTTGTTCACCCTCCTCTAGGTAAAGTATCTATTGCTCCACGTGTATAATCGTGAGGGAAGATCCACACTGGGTTCCTTTCCCCGGAACAACAATTGGTATTATAGTGTGGTTGCCCCAAGTACATAGATAGTAAGTTGGCATTATTTATTTTTGTTTACTTGTCTAGTTGTTTGCCTTCAAGAGATCTATCATTACTACTAGTTAGTCTTGAATGGATTCTCAAAAGGAACGTGGTTCAATTATAAGACCTCCTTTCTTTGATGGTTCTAATTTTACCTATTGGAAAGCTCACATGAGAGCGTTTCTTAAATCTATCAATGAGAGAGTATGGTTGACCGCACAAGAGGGTGGGATCCTGTCTACAACTTTTTTATTGGTACCCTGTCTTCGAATTTTCCTATCTTGTGGTCTATTATTTCTCTGCCTCTCTCTAAAAAAACCTTTGCCTACAACAAAATTATGGGTGCTTGCATCCTCCAAAAAGAATCTCCTTACCTTGTGGATGATGGCCCAACCTTATCCTCTTCTTCTTGCTTTACCCTGTCTGCCTGGCAGTCTTGTAAACAACCCAAAACGATGATTTACTCTTAATAGAATTTAAATTGACCACAAAGAAATGTGTCTTCTACATATCCAGAAAGTGTACGGATACAAGAAAAATAAAAAATTATGGATACGCTTCTTTGGGTGCTGAACATGTGTTTGTTCCCCTGATGTCTATAGCATGTTGGTGCTTCCTAGATTTTTACTATGGCTTCCAACGAGGAGGCAGCAGTTCAGGAGTACTTCTCTAGGGGTGGCGGCAGCATTGTGGTGTGGCATCCCATTTTTGGAGGGGAATTATTGGATTGAAAGATTCAGACATTGGTGGAACTCCTGAAACACTTACAGGCGCTGAAAGGGGGAGTACCTGAAAGCAACATGATGAGATGGCCCGTGGAGAAAAGTAGTAACTTTATGGTAAGATCATATTACAAGACATATCTCCTTGAAAAGGGATTGAATTCCAAGGCCCTGCCTGAGGTTGATTTATTTTTTGGGCATGGACAGCGGTGTGGAATCATTCTCATATTGAATAACTTGAGGAGGGGATTTCAACTCTTGGATAGATGCATCATTTGTTCGTCCAACTATAAGTCTGTGAGGCGGATATTCCTGTTTTGGCTGGCACTACGGTACTTTTGGTCATTGATATTCTTGCTGTTTGATATGGCGTGAGTTATGCCTAGATTCTCTAGGAAATTGCTGAAATGCCGGAGAGAGGGTTATGAGATGCATGAGTTGTATTCGTTTAGCAATATTTTAATGTTCCTAGAAGGAAAAGATTAGGAGGATTTCTAATGTCATAGAGATGGCCATAGATAAATTTAAACAATCCTTTTCCTATGTTTCATTTTTTTGGGGAAAGGGCTTCTACCCTTCTGGCTAGTCCCATCCTTACAGTGTTTGGAGGAGATAGTTCCTTTATTTTATATATTGTATTTGGGTAACGATCCCATGTCCTTATTGCACGTCTACTAATGAAGAAAGTATTAAACTTCATAACTTTATTTTGATTGTCTCGCACATGTTTCTTATTGCCCCACCTGAGAAAATCCTATGCACAGTCTAGTAATCTGCCTTAGCCTCTTCAAAGTGGTGCTCACTTCTGTGATACCCGCTTCAGTGATATATGATACAACTTCATGGTGGGTCCAATTGCCTTTGGAAAATTCTGCTGACTCTGATTTAGGCACTCTCATGTTACTCTACTTTCTTAGTGTCTCATGTTACTCTAATTTTTTAGTGTTAAATTCTGATAACTCTTCCTTTTGTGCCACAAACATATGACATTCCAAATAAACCCTAATTAATTTCCAAGATTGTGCCCCTTGTTGATGTTTGAGAAATAGAAATCAAGGGGCTTTTTAGGTTCCTCCATATAAAACTTTGAGGCGTTCTAAGTCTAACCTACTTTTTTGGCTATGTTTTAGAGTAGTCCTAGGGGACCCTTCATTCCTGTTTCTTCTTCTCCACACCCCCTTCTGCTGGGGCAGATGATGTTAGCTGATGTAGACAGTTAGCAAAAGTTTCCACAAAAGAATAGAATTTTAATAAGATAAATCTGGTTGTACAATCCTTCCCATAAAGAGATCAGAAACTCCATGAGGCTTTGTCCACAAATCTCTCTTCTCTTCTTGCCAAATTGTCATGGAGTATGTAAGATCATAGGTTATTGTGATATCAGGTCCATTTGCCTGCAACAGTGGATGTGTATGCTGTATACTTATACGCACACATGCTCACATATAATTATGTGTCTGCTTTTGTTCATGTTTATTTTCAATACTGGAGTGTAATTGAATAGAAACTCTTTTATACAGGTGCACAGACTAAAGAAAGAGCTAAGAAATGCACAAAAATCGAGAAAGGCCGCATCTGCTTCTTTAAGGATAGCTCTGCAGAAAGCTGCACAACTGCGACTTATGGAAAAAGAGAAGAACAAGAGTCCATCCTATGCCATGCGCATTTCCTTGCAAATTCATAAAGTGGTTTGGGGCATGCTTGTAGATGGTAGATCGTTTGCTGAAGCTGAGATAAATGACCTGGTGAGTCTCTAAATATAACAATAGTTTGTCTATATTTGTTCTGCTGGAGTGCCAAAGGATACTGTGTTCCATATTACAGCATTCAATAACAGGTGACATACATGACATCGTAATTAGGTATTGTAAAAGGGAAAAAGAAGTCTAACTAGGTACTGATACCTGGGGGAAGTAGGATCAGATTATGCTGTTAGTAATCTAAACAACTTGAGATATATACTAAATACAATTATTTGCTATCTCCACCTTTTAAAAATGAAGTATCTCATTTCTTTCTGAGATGCTAATGATTTGTAGTTGAGGGGCATTCATAGTTATGTTTCCTTCTAAGTCATGCATTACAGAGATATGGTTTCTACCCTTTGGTAACTGTGGCTGTCTTTGATTGCTTAATGCATGCATTTCTCAAGTCTCATTGGCTCAAAATGCCAAGCAATGTGTAATCATCCTGCAAAGTTTTGCTGCCCCAAACCTATATTCTAAATTGCCTAGCAGAATAATTGTTTTGCATAAAACTTCTTAAGACATTCAGAAGTTTTTTGATTTCATAATTATTAATGACTTCTTGTATGCTGTGGTGGATAGCATCCTCATTTCGGAGCCATTATTTTGAATTTCATTTCCCAGGGATATCATTTTTGATCTGTCCGAAGGAATTTTTAATCTTCTGAAGTTGAATCTGTTGAAGTATATGCTTAAGTTACACCTGCTTTTGGAGTAGATGGTTGTTTAACTTGATATTAGAGTAGGAGGTCCGGTGTTCAAATCTCGCCGCCACCCTAATATTAAAAAATTTCCACGTGCTAAGTCCAAAAATCTAGTGTACACGTGAGCGAACGTGTTGAAGTATAAATACTTGAGTTTTAAGAATTTTGGATTGGGGTGGAATGCTCAAGATGGATCTGTTATCAAGCTATTGTTTGTATCACAAATGATAGCCCTTTGTTTAAGTTTATGGATATCAGTCAAAACTTCTTTGTGACTGGGTATTTTTGGTATATAATGACATTCTAAACCAGGTTTAGAGGTGTCCATCCAATTCTTAAAAAAATCATGCAAATCCTTATAGAATGAAGAAAGAGTTCTGCAGCAAAGTTGGAGAAATTTTGAAACATTCCTCTATTTTATTTTTTGTGCTTGCATTTGCTGTCATCTCCTTTGATTATCTTTAGTGAATCTTTAATTTGTTGAATTCTTTCTTTCTTCTTCTTTTTTCCTCTTTCTTAAAATATCTTGGTTGTCCTTACACATTATTTGCAAGCTTTGCCCTAAATTTAATTTAATATCTTTCCAGGCTGGAGAGTTCTTTCTCAAAGCAAATCTTGAAACTATTCAATAAAGTGTGAATCCCTAGGAAGATGTGGATCACTTTCGTTTTTTAAGGAAAAAAATTGAGATGGTTCCCACATCTCCGTAGAATATTGGGCTTATCTTTGTATCAAAGAGTTCTGATTACAATGGTTTGAACCGATTTGATGAAATTCAAGAAGATTTTATTTATCATCATCTGCCTTATGTATTCCCTAAGTATTCCTTGTAACAATCTGATATTCTTCCCTTCCATCCTACCTTTCGATTTCTAGTATAAATATCAAATATATAGTTGGCAAAAAGCCTCAAACAATGTCTTTTATCTGTCATGTTTGAAGCTGATCAAGCTCACAGTATGGTAACGATGACAATGGATTATGTAGCCTTTTACATTATTTATTCATGAATAGTCTTGAGACCACAAAGTTTGGGTCTCCAGAATCTGAATATATGGCACCCCAAGGGGTAACATGATGACCACAAGACCTCTTCAAAAAGTTAGAGATCTTGAGTTCAGGTCTCTGCTTTGAGGCTACTTACACATGCTATGATCTGGTGAAATGGTAGGCATATCCTGCCTCATCTATCTACTAGGTAAGTGTGTGTTTTTGAAGAACATGCCAGTTGTTAGCCCCTTAGCTCGTTAGCACGGCTATGGCATGTGGGTGCTTGCCCAATGACGACCTGTGCCTTAGCCAAGGTTAGGAAGTGCTTGGCTAAGCCCTCACGTGGTGTAAAGATGGTTCCCTATAGGATTCATTGATCGGTGGGATCTGTAAGTCCCATGCATGGCTGAGTGCGGCAGCAAATGCATGGGCACATTGCACACAAGCAACTCCAATTGAGGTGCATTACAAACTTGGAAGCCCAAACCATGGGATGGGCATGGCTTGACATGTAGGCTAGGAAAATCAGATATTGTGGGCTGACAGTACTACCCCATGTCCCACAGAAAGTTCTCCAGATCCTTAGCACTTTCGCGTACCAATGACGGCCATGGTTCACAGAGTTCAATCTTCGAAGATGTCTCCACCACATAGGGTTAAGACTGCATGGCTCTCTTCACATGGGCCACTTCATCTTTAATATCCTTCAAATTGGCCTTGATAACATCCATAAGAGACAGAACGTCCTCTATAATCATTGTAATCTTGACATCGATGTCTGTCACGTATTTATCAAAAGTCATCCACAGATCTACAATTTGGACAACATGTTGTTACATCAACACAGCAATGCCGGTTACATCATCACTCTAAGGGGCGCCTAGAAAATCTTCCAAACGGATCAGACATTCATATAACTCTTAATCCTTTCCACTAGCCATGATCAAAAACTTGGTGCTTTCATACTACCTTTCACGAGGGTCAAATTACACTCGAATTTTTGCCTTGTGATTGGCACTAAGATCCTAGAGTTAGTCTCCGCAAAAAAACACACAGGATGTTCACAAAAACAAAGTATCAAACTAGTAATGGTCAAGAATCAAACACACAGCAAGCACATGAGATTATAGGCCAAAACGACCTAACGTTTTATACTTCTCAACAAGCAAAAAAGATTCTGGCCAAGGGTCTGCATACAAAACATGTCCAAACTCTCCTAGGTTACTGCAAACCCTAACATGTGTATATAAATCTATACATGGTGGTTACAACCCAAACGCTAGGCAATGTTGAAACCAACTAGCTTTGACCAACTTAGTCATAAAGTTGACATCCCCCAACTGCTAGGATTACTGACACCAATTAGATTAATCGTCAAGGATATGGGTAGTTTTGTCATACCCCACAATGTTGCTAAACAAATCGGAAGCATCAGACATAATTGGAGTAGTTATGCCTTTATAACTGTAACATGAGTCAGCCAACAACTACTCAGAACCGTCCCACATGATTTGCACATGTGGAAGAGAAAGTGACCATAACCAGCACGTGTCTTTTTGGGGATGCCAAACATTGGTGGCGGACTTGGAATAAGGATGATGCTAGTGCGGGACGGCCTAAAATCAAGACGTGGGATGCACTCAAAAAGGAGTTGAAGTATCAATTCCTACCTAGCAACACTATATGGATTGCTAGGGAGTCGCTTAAGAAACTGAGGCATATAGGTAGTGTTCAAGATTATGTGAAGGATTTTAGTTCTTTAATGCTTGATATCAAGAATATGTTTGATGAGGACAAACTCTTCAATTTCATATCCGGTTTGCAAGAATAGGCGCCAACGGAGTTGCGTAGGTAGGGGTGTGTGTTGTCCACTGCCATTGATGTTGCAGATGTTTTTGTTGACTTCAAGATGGGTAATCCAAGCCTTTCTGAAATGAAAAAGAAAGACGGTGGCGGCAAGAAAGACAAGGCAAACACTTCCAAGGAAGCACTGAAGTCAAATTGGAAGAAGAAAAAAAACAACGGTGATTCTAAAAAGCCAGACAACAACCATAAGAACAACTTTAATTCTGGTTACTTTTTTGCGGGGCCTTTATTGTGTAAAAGATTGCCCAAAGCGAGGGAATTTAAGTGCCCTCATTGCTACTGACCTTCCCGTGTCAACCCTCTGTAAATGCTAAATGCAATCATGGTTAGAAAGGTTCAACTCCGAAAAGGCCTAATGTTTGTGCAAGCTTGGGTATACTGCTATCGTGTATAACTTCATTGCGCGGAGGAAAGTGAGAAATTTTGGCCTACGGTTGACAAAGAATTCGAGCAAACTCAAGATTGTTAATTCTGAAGCAATGTCGGTGCACAAACTATAGAGACGAGCTAGAAAGTTGGTCTTTGGGAAGGCCAGTGGGTTTGATGGTTGTGCCCATGGATGACTTTGATATCATCATTGGGAATAAATTCTTTGTCATGGCTAAGGTGGCGCCAATACCACATTAGAACGGAATGCATGAGTAGGTAGTCTCCTTTGTGCCGACAATGTTAGTAAGACCAAGGAAGGAGGAAGGAAAGCGGAAGCTTGAGATGTTGTCCGCTATGCAAATAAAATCTGAGTTGCGAAAGGGAGATATGACATACCTTGCGGCCTTGGTGGAGATCAAACCTGATGTTTAGGTTGAAGTGCCGAATGGTGTTGTAGAAATTATGGGGAAATTTGCTGATGTTATGTCCCTAGAACTCCTCAAGACCTTTCCACTCGAGACGTGTTATTGACTACAAAATCGAGTTGGGAGTCTGGTGGAAAGACTCTAGTCCATGCCCCTTAATGAATGTCGTCCATAGGGTTGACAGAGTTGAGGAAGTAGTTGAACGAGTTGCTTGATTCTGGTAGAATGAAACCCTATAAGGCGTCATATGGAGCCTTAGTGTTGGTCCAAAAGAAGCAGGATGGTTTGTTGAAGATGCGCATTGACTATCAGGCCTTGAACAAAGTGACTATCAAGAACAAGTGTCCCGCTTCGAATGTTGTTGATTTGTTTGATAGGCTCTCCAAATCGACTTCCTACGCAAAACGGGATTTGAATACTACGTATTGTCCGGTTATAATTGCAAAAAGAGATGAATCCAAAATTGCTTGTGTAACTCGTTATGGTTCTTTTGAATTCCTTGTAATGCCGTTTGGGCTTACAAATGCTTCAGCTACTTTCTGCAATTTAATAAATGATGTTTCTTACGATTATATCGATGTGTTTGTGGTCGTTTACTTAAATGACATTGTATGTAGTCTATAGTGAGTAGTTGGAGGATCACTTAGACCATCTAAGGAAGGTGTTCTCACGGCTTAGAGAGGACTAGTTGTATGTCAAGAAGGAAAAGTATGAATTTTGCCTCCAAGAAGTGATGTTCTTAGGACATTGGGTTAGTAAATGCCAGATTCGGATGGATGAGAGGAAGGTGAAGACAATTATTGATTGCCTTGCACCAACCAAGGTGCCGGAACAGTGGTCTTTCCTTGGTTTAGTCAACTATTATCGTAAGTTCATTTAGGCCTATTCAATGAAGTTCAATTCCCTAACTGATTTACTCAAGAAGGACTGGAAGTTGGACTGGAATGTTACTTGTCAGATTGCTTTTGAGAAGCTCAAACATGCAGTGTCTTCTACACCAGTGCTGAGGCTAGGAAACTTTGATTTACCCTTCGAAGTGCACATTGATGCCTCTGACGGCACCATTGGAGGAGTCCTCGTTTAGGAAGGACACCTTATTGCCATTGAAAGCCTAAATCTCAAAGATGTAAATCAATGCTAAGACTAAGTGTGTTTGGCTAAGACTAAGTGTAGGATCTCAATGTCATCACAAGACAAAAATTTGAGTGTAATTTGATCCCAGTGACACCAGTAACATAGCATTGTGAAGTGGTTGGCATATTCTCACTTGAGAAACTTAAGATTTCACTTTGGTGTTGGCTACAATGCTCCACATTCATGATCCTTTTGCTTGTGCAAATATTGTACTTTATATGTGTGTGATGAGTTATTATTGCTTAATACTACCTGTTTGCCTTCCTTTCTGTTGATATGTAAAATTTTCACAACAGCTGCTGATTGTTAGTTTTTTTGTTCAGTTAAAAGATATCTTTAAATGTTAATAGTATCACAAGTATTATAATTTTTTTTTGTTTTTAATGCAAGTGCTATGTAAAGAGCACAAACATGAAACTAGTGAATGTCAATCACATTCTATTCAGTCTTTCCCTTTCCTAAACAATCCTGACAATTTATTTAAAATGTATACAGTGTTACCTATTTAGTTTTCATTTTGTGGTTTCCAATTTAAAATTTGCTTCTTTCCTCTGCTGAATTTGATCTTATTGGGGAACTTGTAACTTAATAAATAAGTACCTTGATTGTTGGGAAATGAAATATGCTCACTACATGTAGAAGCTCTTGCTTCAGCAGAAATTTATGAAAACATTTTTTTCTGTGCAGATATATGATTTTGACAGGGATTACAAAGATGTTGGTGTTGCTCGGTTTACAACAAAGTATTTTGTTGTGAGAAACTGTCTGCCCAATGCCAAGTCTGATATGCTTCTATCAGCATGGAATCCTCCTCCTGAATGGGGAAAGTATGCAAATTATTTACTTGTTTAACTTAGTGCTATCTTGCTCCTGTTCAGTGTTTTTGTAGTTAACTCATGCATCAGTGACAAGCTTGGCTACCTGCCTTGATTCATTACTCTTATAAATTGGAATAAATAAACTTTTCTGTTTTTTTTTTCTTGTTGTTGGTTATTGTTAAAGCTAAACGGAAATTTGCATACTCTTACAAAAACTTTTACTGGGCTAGCTTTTATACTTTTCTGTTAAACTTTGCAATGAACTCTCTCTCATATAGCATCTATATGAATATTATGATGCGCTTACATGTCCTTGCACCCTTGAATGTCTTCCTTGCTGATTTTTCTATGTACAGTGTTAAATACATCCTCCATCTGTTTGTCAGCATTCCCATTTTTTTGGCACAGTCGACAATTGATTTATTTTCAGTATCCTGCCAAATTTCAATTTCTGATATGAACTTGATTTCTTACTAATCTTCTCTTTTGACGTTGCTAGCTTATGTGATCCCAGTTTAACTTCTTGGCTATGTCCCTATGATATAGCAGCAATTTATCCGCATGAACTCGTTAATATGTAATTAGAAATTTACTATTTGAAAGTTTTTGTCTGTAGAATTTATTTCTTTAGGTTGCATGCTAACTTTTAGGTGTGTCTTGTCTATGCCTTTTCATACTGCAAATAAGTCTCAGATTAAGTTTCTTTCCACATATATAGGGTTTGGAAATAAGTCTAGATAGAGGTTCTCAAAGGCTCAAAAGGGCCAACCAATTTTTTGGTAGTAAAACTTAATTATAGCGTCTCTCTCTCTCACACACACACACACATTTTTGCCACCAAAACCACTAGCGATAGCAAGCCATTGGTCCACCAGTTTATGGCGATAACCAAAATTGCCCTATGAATGCACCCACCTAGAAGGATAACTGTCAAACTTCATAAAATCTAGTTTTAATGCTCGTGCTTGATTAGATTCATTTGGACACCAATTGCATTAGATTATCTATCCTTCATGATGAGGTGGAGACTATCTATCATTCGATGTGGGAGTTTGGATCCCACGTCGAATGATTAGGACCACCCCCAAAATTCTTGGTATACATGTTTGTTTGTTTGTTTGTTTGTTAAAAGAGATGGTTTGAAGAGAGCTTATATCAGACATCGAATAATTAGAACCCACCCAAGGTTAATTTATATGATTAAAGGATTTCTCCACTTACTGTTAATTGGTTTTGGGTTGGATGTTCTATTAGAAAATAGTCCTAGCTTAACCAAAATATACCTCAAGATCTCAAAACACTTGGTCCTTTTGAGATCATGAGCATTATTTCACAAGCTTTTGCCCTTCCTGTTTGATTGTATCCTGAAGATGCTTGATAGCTTCTTCCATCTGGGTCACTTGAGTTCTATCCATAGATACCGGAATCTTATCATAGATATCCCTAGCGTCCCACAAACCGAGGTTACTCGATCCGAAATGAGGTATATTTGCAATTTATATGGCTCAAATTTCCAACCACAAATAACTCAAATCCAAATCAACTAATGATCTAGATTATCCCAAATCATAAACCTAATGTTAAATTGTAACCTTAACTTGTTATTTCTTTATTTTGGTGATCTTAAACTTAATTTTGATTTGTTGTGATTTGAAATTCTCCATAGTACAAATACTCAACCATCTACGTTCATTGTTTAACACTATTTTTCTACGTTGTCTTGGATTATGATTCACTTAGGAACTCTTATTAGAATACAAGTAAATATTAGTTGACCGTATATATAAATGTGTAATTACAAACAATTTGATGTAATTGTGAAAACAATCCAAATAAGGAGTTATAAAATGAATCACGATCTAAAACAGTGTACCAAGTCTACCCTCATTGCACTGTGTATCAGAAGAAGTTTTGTATTGTGTACCTGTACCCATACCATGTAACAAATCGATTCACAATCGAGGTAACAAAGGTTCTATGTACCATGCCCAGAGCTGACCATTGTAATACCAGTTTGTTGGTTCTGGGTTTCTTTCACGAAGCTATAATTTCAAAAATTGCAGAGATAACGAATGGTAAGACTCACTGTGAGGGGAATCTGCCTTTAATTCATAGCCTGATAAACCCTGAGTATTCCCTTCATTTACTCAAACTACTTTATATGTAGATACATTTAGCACATCATATGCCATGTAGAGTTTTACTATTTTTCCTCCTGTGACTCAACAAATTAATCATCCCATAAAAACCTCACCTCATTCCTCTACTCTATTTGGTGCAATAGAGTGCTGAAAGTTCAGCTCAGATTAAGACACTAATATATGTTAGACTTGCTTTACTCTAGGGTCCGTATATTTTGGGATTTAGCATTCAATACTCTGTGTCCTTGCCAATAATCTATGTTTACGTTGGGAATGCCAATCCTTGAATCCCTTTCTTTTTTAGCAAATTGTTTTTCTCCTTTGACCTGCGGAGGTTGTGGGACAATGTGATTTCTTGTGCAGTTATGAATGTACTGTTGAAAAATCATTCATCTTTGTATGAATCTTTTGTGAACTAAGTGAATCAGCTGAAGTCTTGAATGGTCTGTTTTCTGATAAAAATGAAAGATGCTATTCAATTGTCCATCTACACCTCTTTGAAGTAAACGAAAATGGACCCTTTTAAAATGTAAATTCGGTTCCTGACACTTAATAAGTTTCTACTTGCCAATCATTAATTAGGATAGTGTCATACATTTAATTTTCTCTTGTAGCTCCACATTTTATTAGGAGTGTAGGTGTTAGCTGGAAATTTCATATCACACATCTCTTTTTTTTGGGACGGATCAGATCACTTATCTGTAGCAAACATTTGGCATGTCTCTTTTGATGCTATAATATCTACTTTTTTGGGCTGCAGGAAAGTGATGCTTCGCGTGGATGCAAAGCAGGGAGCTCCAAAGGATCGGAACTCTCCTCTTGAACTATTTCAGGTAATAAATTTTCTTATTATCAAGTGTTTTAATTATGTCAGATTTAGATTTGCCAGTGAAGGATTGGATTCTCTTCCCTTTTGTTTAGCCAATCTGGTCCATACCCCGTACCATGAGGGCCATATTTGGTTCAGGGAGACCTGTTGCCTCATAATCCATAGCATCTCACTAGTCATGGCATTTTATGTTCTGCACCTATACATTGCTCAAGATTTTTCATCACTGACACAATATCCAACCTCCCTTCCCAAGCCAAAAAAAAAGATCAATACTTCATCTTAGAGAGGAACATTACTGCTGCATAATGAACAAGAACTTCATGAATGAAATCCATGGAAGGAATAAGAGTTAAATACAGCTCTTCTTTTTATTCCAAAGCAAAGAATCTCCTGATTATGTAATAGAGTTGCTATACTATATTGTTGACGGGGCTGGCACCGATTCATCCCTTTACATCCATAGTGTAGAAAGTCAAAATCTCTGGCATGAATGCTTGCCTGGGTTGCACCTATTGCCTCAACACAATGCTGTAAATGACATTGGATTAAGCAAGTATACTGTGACTCAGTGTTATTTAAGGCGTAAAGCGAACCGAAGCGACCAAGGCTCCTAACGCCTAGGCGAGAAGCGAGAAGCGAAGCGACACGCTTTACCGAAGCAAAGCGAACAGTTAAAAAAAATATATATTTTAGTTTAATTACTTCTAAACAATCTAAGTTCTAATTTTATATATACTAAATATTTAAATGCAAGTAAAACCATAAACATTTAAATTAAAAAAAACACTAATAATATCTCAAATCTTAATAACAGTCATAACTTAAACATTTAAATTCAAACAAATACTAACAATTGTATACATTTTCATATTGACAGGGTAGGACAACAAAAGAAGCAGAATCAGGACAACAGCAGAATTAGCAACAAAAAAAAA